GATCCTTGTCCCAATTACTTGTACGCATAAGTGTGACATGTTTGTAGGACAGTGAGCGACCTGTTGAATACATCCTTGATACTTCACCTGCAAGGGCATCATTCTCAATGGTCTCGTATTCTAACTCGAGATTATCCAGTTTATAATTACCCTTAGCTTCACCTCCTTGTGCAGTCATAATCTCATCTGATCCGGGGAGTGTGAATATGTACATAGGATTGTTGTTCATGTAGAATGGTACGTAAAGTCCATGGTCTGCGATAATCTTATCAATTGGTTTTCTAAGTTTGGAGCCGTATACACTATGGAGAAGTCCATCTGCTATTTTACCTGCATCACCTACTTTTACTCCTGAGTCGTCACCTGATATCAGCTTTCTCAGGTTTTCACTTCCGAGGCCCTGTTCTGTCATCTTATTTCTGTCACCCTGTGTTAGCCATAGATCTTTATAAATTTCATACAGACTCTCCCCTGAACAGTCATAGGCTGTTTCACCTGCTACTTTAACCTGAAGACGTTTTGCAATCAACTTAGCTAGGTTATTATTGAACCTGCTCTTTGTATTTGAATTTTTAAAATCAAATAAGAGTGTAAGTGACCCTGGAACTAAACAAGAGTCGGGCTTTAATTTAGGAATGTTAATGTACAGCTCTTCTCCCGGGCTAATTGTTGTTGGATTGAAAGTTACAACACTTCTAGTTCTGAGTCCTTTTATGGATGTCATACGGCTTCTCCTGAAGCCAGGCTGGAGTTCTCTTTCTGTGGTATTCATGCTTTATACAATATGTAATGTTTAGTGGTAAAAGTATAAGGCTATTCCTACAACTATTGCTATTTTCCATAAGTTTGATGATATGAATTTAATTAGTTTGTTTGCTACATCAGGGAGTGGCCTTGGTTGTGAATCTGAACTTGAACCTTTATTTGAAAAGTTTGCTGCTTTTGAGGAAAGTTTCCTGGTCTGTATGATGACAGCTGTAAGGAGAGCAGCAACTGATATTATAATACCTGCAATCACAACTCCGAAGTTATCTTCAACCCATGATTTGAATCTTTCATACCTCGTTAGATCCTCTCTAACATCCTTCACCATTGTTTCTGTGCTGTCACCACTGAATATAGGTTGATTGTCTTCTGGGATACTATCCTCTGCGATTTGGAACAGAAGACTCTCAAAGTTGTAAGTATTATCTACCCATTCAGTGTCAGGACCTGCGGGCTCCTCAGACTTCTCACCTATGTCTACCTTCTTAGGTTCCTTGAATTCAGGTTTTTTAGGTTCTTTACCTCTGGGCTTTTTAGGTTCCTCAGGTTGAGACTTCTTAGGTTTCTCAGGTTGAGACTTCTTAGGTTTCTCAGGTTGAGACTTCTTAGGTTTCTCAGGTTGAGACTTTTCCTTCTCCCATTCTTCAAGCTTTTTTCTCCAATACTCTGTTTTCTCCTTATCATCTTTCAAGGATTCTAGTCGCCTTTTAATCTCAGCTTCTGCATTCTTTTTGCGTTCTATTTCAGCAGCTTCTGCGAGCCTCTTGCGTTCCAACTCAGCTGCCTTTCTTCGGTCCTCTTCCTCCTTCTTCGCAACTTCTTCCTTCCTGCGTTCTTCTTCCTCCACTTCTAACTCCTTCTCAGGCTCATTAGGATCGAAACCTAAGTTTTTTATAATTTCCTTCAACCTGTCTATTCTTTCTGAGTAGTTGGTCCTTTTGAATTCAGCCTTAGCTATTCTCTTGAGTACAACTAGGGTTTTTACCTCTTCCTTGAGAGTTCCATGGGTTGCGTCCAGGTAGACCTCAGTTTCTGACCTCTTCCGGACCTTAATTCTCTTAAGTCGGCTGACATATTCAATTTCCATCCGAATATCTCTGTTCTCATTCGGGTCTTCTGTTCCCATTGCTTGACTCCGTAGAATTTCTATTTCAGAGTCCATAACTTCAGGTTCCATTTCCCTATAGCTAGGGTATAATCTATCTAGCCTATCTATATCCTCATCTTCGAGGCCTTCCCAGATATCAGAATATTCACTACTGTATTCATCAAGGATGGTGCTTACCCTTTCCATCCATGCTGCTTTGTATTCAACACTTTCAGCCATTATTATACTTTACTTAGTATAATAATTGTATATAATCAAAGAGGCAGCTACAACTAGTACCCATAAGTTTGACGCTAGCCAGGCAACTCCTTTTGCTCCCCATGACAGCGCAGTTCCAATTGCATTCAGGATTGGAAGAAGAATTGGTCCTACTTTCTTTGCTAAATTTGCTAGTGCTTTTGCTACCTTACCAGTGGCCTTTCCTGTTCTCACAAGGGCTCCCCTAGCATGGATCAATAAGGCTGTAATTAAACCTGCTGTTGACACTGCTATACCTGCAAGTCCCACTTTCTCCTTTCCTACCCAGTCTATAAATCTACGTAATCTAGAAATGTCCTTCAGTTGTGCCTCTCTTGCTTCCTCTATTGTTCTCTGTTCTAGGGTTCGATCTCTAGCTTCCTTTAGACTATCAATTCTTTCTATAAGGGAATTATACTCAGTTGCACCCTCAGCTTCAGTGGCCAGTTCCGTTGTTTTACCAATAGCTTCATTAAAGTAGTCAGCTTGGATTTGCAACGCTCCATTAGGACCTGTTCTGCTTTCTATGCTTGATCCATCAGGTGGGTTAAGTACCCCTCTCAGTTCATTATTTTCTTGCATTGTTAGCCCTGGAAGATCTCCTAGTTTTGCGCTTATGTCTATTAACTCAATGTTCTCACGGTCAGCGTATTCCTCGTCACTGGTATTAAATTGCGGCTCTTCTTTAGTATTCTCATAAATTGATTCATCACTTGTAATTCTAGTGTCAGGATCTGTAGGTACCTCTTTTATTTTCTTTATAAGTTCCTTATATTCTCTCAGTGCAGGTGAGTCCTTTGAGTACACAGGTTTACTGGTCTTACCACGTTTCATTATTTGTGTCCCACTTTTATCAATACCCTGTTCACTTCTAAATATCAACACCTCTATGCCATCCTTGAGTGTTCTTACAGATGATCGTTTGATGAGTTTCTGACGTATCTATTTTTCGGGTCTAGTACTAGTCCCTCCTTATTCTTGATAACTCTTGCGACAGCTTGAACGCGCTCTACTTGGTTTTCAAAATCTCTCTTTTTATTTGCTGTAAGTCGGTCTTCTGAGAACTTTTTCAGTTTCTCTAGGCGGGCTTCTATTTCATCCCAGTCAGCGTCAAATGATTCGTTGAATGCATCTAGCACATCAGGAAGTACATTGTTTGGGTCTTCCACAAAGTTGACTTCCGGGACAGTTGTGCTTCCTGATGGACCTTGAATGTCCACTGTACCATCATTTCCTTCAGTGAAAGTTGTTTCTTCTATTGCACGTCTCTCCATGAGATTCTTTACATAGTCTAGTTCACTTTTAAGATCAGTTAATACTATAGGGTCATCACCATACATAGCCTCTTCCTTTACCCTTGTATCTAACCTACTAAAAGCTGTCGTTAGGTCATCATAATTAAGGTCGTCATATTGAGGATAAGTTTTTTCTGTCTCCTCCATTTCATATTCGTCATAGTCCTCTGCACCCTCCATAATACTTTAACTTATGTTAGGGACTTGATGTCTCCAGCTGGTATCCAACTGTTAAATTTGTCATCATAACCTAACCACTTAATGAGAGCCATCTTTTTACCCTTCACCGTTCTTCTTCTTAGTACTTTCTCTATCTTAAAATCAGGTTCCCTTCCTTCAGCGCTATACAGTTCTTGTTCATAGAATCTGCCAATTATTGGTTCATCAGCACTGTCTTTTATTGAATACGTGTTTGGATGACCGTGATACACTTCCGTCACAGTGAACAACTCCTCTGTAAAATTTGCTTCATATCCTTTTGTGAACACTGATTTGTACTTTGAGATCCTGACGCTTTCTCCGACAGCAAACTTTGGTTCCGACGGCTTGCCTAAATTGTGACTAAAAAGTGTCTTCCATACTTCAGTCCAGTTGGAATCATTTACACTGTCCGGTGTTGTTTTAATTGATCTGTTCACTGAACTGTTGTAATTATCAGTTAAGTCTTGAAGGACGTCTAACCATTTATATGTACTGGCACTATAGAAGTACTTCCACATTAGCGCTTTCAGTGTTCTGTTAAATCTTTCCACAACTGCGGCCTTTTTGTCTGAGTAAGTAGAGAAAAATTCAATGTTATGTTTATTGAGCAATGACTTTACATCTTTATTGTAAAACTCTGTGCCTTGATCAAACTGTGTGAATTTTGGGTATTTACCAAAGTGATTATTAAATTGCTCTAAAATGTTACTAACTGCGTCCTTCATTGATGCCGCGTTTTTCCTATACACTGGTACTGTGAATGCATACCTACTTAGTATTTCGATTGATGTGAGAATCCATCGGTATTCCTTGTTCTTGTCGTCATACTTTGTCATGTCAACTAAATCCATTTGTAACTGCTCACCTAGAGTTTGGACGTACGTCTGTCTGAACTTATGTTTCCTAAACACTTGTCTGTACCTAGTGTATGTGTCCTGCTCATTTATCCATTTCTTAACCTGGTTTCTGGTTACTTTAAGTCCGTCTGATATTGCTCTAAGATATAGTTTCTCTGGTGTTTGGAATCCAGTCTTAGGACTGTAGTAAATATCTCGTAGTCCTTGTTCTTTCATAATATCGTCGTCCATCTTATATTAACCAATGTAAGCCATCTACTCAAGGTACATCTCAAGTAGCACTTCACCTATATCAATAGGTTTCCCGTCTTGATCTGTCATGTAGAATACAAGTTCTGAGAAAGAACCCTTAATAACTGAAATCCTGCTTTCAACATCGATGTAGCTAACCACAGAGCCTAATAATGGTCTGTCAGTTGGAACTGTAACACTTGTTATTACATCGCTGGGTCTTCCCCAAGGGTTAACGTTAAAACTGTTACTTACTAGGTTGCAGTGTATATTTACGTATCGTAGACCGTTATTAAAGTCAACTTTGCTATCACTTGTCAAACTCCTCCCTTTTAGTAGAATTATAGGATTATTAAATCTATTAAAGCCAAGCATTGTTAAAAACCTGGTTTCTATTGTAATGTCCTGCTTTACAGCTTCTATCTGACATCCTGCTGTTTCAGCAAAGTAGGTTAGTTTAACACCGTGTCTCTCAAGTAATTTTCTCATACTGTCAAATGTATAGTAGCCCTTGCTGACAATCACGTCAGTTTCACCACCAGCTGTTTTAACCTTGAGAATAGTTGTTGGTTCTCTTATATTGAAATATTCCCAAAAAACTGAAACTCTCTTCACAAAGACTGAATTATAGTTGCTTGTTAAAACTGAATTCTGTAGTGATATAATAGTGTGCGAGCTCTGGAGTAAAATTGTGAACTTCATCTTAATAACATACGTTAGGTTATTAAGATGGAGGATGCATATGCTAAGTACCTTGAACTTGTAAAGAGTCCTAGAGTTATAAGAGCATCTAATAGAGCACGTAAGGATGCAATTAAAGCTTTCATAAAGAAGTACCCGAATGCCGACCTAGAGAAGTTTGAGTTCGTGGTTAACATAGATCTTAACGGTGGAATTACCGATGTAGAGACTAATTATAAGGTAGATGATAGTACCTCTTATGGTATTACCTCAGATGGATTTAAAAGTAATCCTGAATTTGTAAAGTCACTTCATTCCCTTAAGACACCGACTAAATGGTCATCAGTTTGGGCTTCAGGGGGTAATGTACCTGACTACTCAAGTGTAAGAAATGTTAAACATGAATGGCCGTTGGTTTGGGCTTCAGGAGGTAACTTACCTCCTTTTACAAACTTGAGGGAAGCTGATCATGTATGGGGTCTTCACCATTATCCAGTTTTTCAGAAGGCTGTTAATCTAGGATCACCCCTGTATAATTTTAAGGTGTACGTTTCTGATCAGGATTACTTCCTTTCTAAATTTAGTCCAATAGAGCGGTGTGAGTGGTCAGGTAAGGCGGTGCTTTATGAGAACAATAAGGGCTTAGTTGAGCTTCCCAAGGGTGTTCCAACTGATATACGCAATGTGAGCATGGACTTCGAGAATGAACCATATTTTGCTCAAATATGTTCCGCGTATATTGCAACTTTCCTATGCGGCATCTCCGTTAAGAATCTAGAGTGGAATGATTCTACCCCAAAACAGATTACCTCTATAGCTAGATACCATCTTTACTATACAATGAGAAAGTTTATGAAAAATCCTGCGCTAATGAAAAAGTATGATATAAGTGGAATGAAAGGGCACTTTCCGGTTAAAACTCAGGATTTCAATGGTGCCTCTTCGGGAGGTGGAACATATGTTAAAGTTGGATGGGTAAACTACACTAACTCCGACTATCTTCACTTCATACCATATGAGTCAAGTGGAATCACACAAGTTGGAGTGCAGTTGCTTATGGAAAGTGTGGAAAGTTATGTTTATTCTGTGTTGGGAGCACAAGCTAGAACAAGGTGGAGTATTGTTAGCGGTCAGTCAGGTAAGGCCCTTCAATCACAGGAGGCTTTTAGAAAAATTGTTGAAGATACTATAGTTCAAAGTAGTGTAAACACTACAATTAGCAACATGAGAATAGCTATAAGGGACACTAATGTAATATTAAATATGGCAATCAATCCTAACATAATACTGGTTCCTTCTAAGCTAATCATTCTTGAAACACCTATTCCTGGATATAATAATATACTCTCAAGTCCTACAAAGACAACTACATTTGGGGTTAATACCAAACTAAACTATGTTGGGGAAAAGAAAACTAGCCATTCAAAGAAACAGCACCAGGACACTACACCAGTTCACCACCTTGATACTATTGATGGAAATAAAAAGGTTCCAGGAGGCTCTACGGTCATTAAGCCAAAGGAAGGTTCTACAAGTTCTGAGACTCAAGTTGTTCCTATCATGAAACATGATGTGGTTAGTACCCATGAGTCTTCAGGAGTTAACGCTATCGCTGGAGCTGGGATTGGTGCTATAGTTGTATTTATTCTAATGAAAATTATCTTGTAAACATTGTGTATGTTATAAAATGGCTCTCTATAAGGGATATATCAAAGGTGTAAATAAAGTTGATCCGTCAATCGGTAGTGTGTTTGATAAGAATGGATTTACCATGAAGGGTGACATTGAGATGGATGGTAATGAGGTAAAAGGTCTAGGTGCGCCTACAGATGATACGTCTGCGGTCACAAAAAAGTGGGTAGATGATGAGATCATTAAACAGGCTGCTCTTACAATTCAACCAGCAGGGTTTACAATGACTGGGGATATTGACATGGGAGGTAATAAGATAACTAATCTTGATAATCCTACTAATCCAGGTGACGCTGCCAGTAAGAGCTGGGTTGAAGGCAGCCGTAGACATGTACATGCAAGTCTACCTGGACTTATCCTTACAAATGATCTCAATATGTCAACCAATGAAATAAAGGCTTTAGATGATCCTACAACTGGAAAGTCTGCTGTAAATAAGGACTGGACTTTATCACAGATAAGAAACCTGGACATATACTTAGCCACTCTCTATGTCCGGACTGACGGTACTCAAGTAATGACTGGCAACCTTAAATTAGGTGGAAATCAAGTTGAAAATGTTGGTGATCCAACGACTGGAAAGTCCACAGCCAATAGGGACTGGGTAGTTAAAATGCTAAACAAACCTGTGACTGGACTGAATATTGCCGGCGACATTGATATGAATAACCATGAGATTAAGAATCTTAAGGATCCCTCCGAGAACCAGTCTGCCGTTACAAAAAAGTGGGCTGTTGATAATAACTTTGTTAATCTCGGGGGTCGTATGTTAGCCGATATATCAATGGCTGGATATAGACTTTTCGGGCTACCCGACCCAAGGATCGCCAACGAAGCTGTGTCCAAGGGCTGGGTTGAGAGTAAGTTGTCAACGTTCGATAAGACTTCTGGTTTTACAATGACAGGTAACATTGATATGGGTGGAAATAAAATTGAAAATGTTGCTGATCCAACTACCCCCCAGTCTGTTGTTACAAAAAGTTGGTTCAACTTAAATGAAGGAACATTCTTACGGTTAGATGGAACAGGATCCCTAAATGTTGCCGGTACCGTTAGTTTTAGAAATACACCTACATGTTCGCAGGGTCCAACGACCTCTAACCACCTTGTAAATCTATCCTATCTAAATTTACTTCTAGGAAGCCTTGTAAAAATAGATGGCTCCCTTGGAATGACTGGTAACCTGCAGATGGGTGGAAATGAAATAGTGAATGTTGGAGCTCCTAGTGCTGATGGATCTGCAGTTAATAAAAAGTGGGTGGAAGATAAGATTAGCGGTGGTAGAAGGAGGCGTGAGACTTATAGTGGACTTACACTATCTGCTGACCTTGATATGGGAAACAATGAAATTATAAAGTTAGGTGCTCCCACAACTGATAATTCTGCTGTGTCTAAGAAATGGGTCACGGATCATGTTAGTGGGAGTTCTGTAAGTAGTAGTGGCTTTAGTATGAGCGGTAGTATTGACATGGCTGGTAATACTATTACGGGGTTAAATAGTGGGTCAACTGGATCTTCTAGTGCTGTTTCTTACGGTTCTATGACTTCATGGTGCTCACAGTTTCTCAAGCGTAATGGTGGCACTTTAGCTAGTAACTTAGATGTTAACGATTACGAGTTGACTAGAGTTGGAAATCCTACTACTAACGGTTCTGCTGTTAATAAGAAATGGGCAACAGATGAGTTCATGAGCAGTAGAGGTGGACTGGTGAAAGGTGATTTAGATATGGGAGATTCAAGTGGAATTCTCGATCTAAAGGATCCTGTAAATGATAAGGATGCTGTTAACAAGCAATGGGTAGAAAAGAATTTCCTAAAACCTTCAACTGGTCTTACTCAAGCAACGGCTGACTTAAGATATGTAAGAACACGGCGACATATACATGCAGAATGGGTTTGGGGTTATCGTGGTGTTTCAGTTGCTGCAACAAGGTACTACGCTTACTGTCAAGATCAGATTTCACCTTCATGGAGAACCGATCCTATAACAATATGACAGACCTCAATCTTGAGTCAATTACTACTAAATCAGACTCCCCAACTTTTCGAACCTGGTTGAACATACCCTTATCCCTAGTCCTGTGGGCTACTGTATGGGAAAAACAATCCAACGGAAAATTTACACAGGTAAGGAAGGAAATCGCTCTAAGAACAATAGACTTAACAAAACTGTCACACATGGTTCAACGGAACTTTTACGGCTACTGGTGGAAGTACAGCTTGCTACGTCTTTAAGGGTAACAGTCTGTTCTATTTAGGAGGCCAGCCGGAGTTGGTAGATAACACGCTAGCTTGGTGTATTATAGTTAAACCTGAACACTCAATGCCCATCGGTATGAGTATGGATATGTCATTCTGCTGGTCACTTCGATATTCAGGGTCAGGTAGTTAACATGTGGTTTATCATAAGATAAGATGTCAAGGTGGAGGTCATGCTTCTCCTGCTTAGGTAAGATTTGTGGTTGTCGTAAGAGTTCTACTAGAACTGGGATGGCTGGTGATATAAATTTCTCTGTATCAAATAATATTAAAATTGGAGTGAGCACACAAGATAAAAAAGATGATTCAAGTAATGTGTCCGACCCTAAGAGCCTAGGCCCCTTGAGTATAATTAAATATGATAATAAAAATTAAAATAATTCTGAAAAATAATAGATAAAAAATGGTCTAGAAAAATATGAGCCCTAGCATATGATAATAATTCTTGTAAATAATAATGCTGAAAAATAATAGAAAAATAATAGAAAAAATAATAGAAAAAATAACGTCAAAAATAATAGAAAAATGTTCTAGAAAAATATGAGCCCGCGTTTTTGAGGGAAAAATATGGAAACCGCTGACCGGAAGTTGGGTGAGATCGCGGGCCGAAAAAGTGGTCTAGAACCCTCATTCCCTATACTACTGAAAAGATATTCTGTTGATCCAAAAAAATTATGAATTTATATCAAATTTTTTCACAGTAAAACTGTCAAAATAATTGAGTATGCTAAGAAAATCATTAAAAAAAATATTGTGGGTCAGCGAAGACGTTTTCGAGTCTCTGTTTTCGAGCTAAACTCTTCAAAGCAAAAATATCCGCCATTTTTAAACATCATTGCAATGATTCTGCCATAGCAGCGGCAGTTGGATAACTATTATGAAAACACTCTTTAGACGTTGTTTTACATAAGTAAGATAAATTTGTTTTGCATAATGTAATACGCGTCCAAAACTACGGATCTAAATCACGCAAATTTTTTATCATGATTCATATTTTAAAAAACTGTATCGAGCCACCTTCATCAAATAATACATTATTTGGTCGGGAAACGCAAGTGAGGCAACAATAACTAGGTTCTTGATCTAGACAATATGTATCTTTCTCCTTTTCCAACCAGAAACAGTAAAACCTTTCTTCACATGCGGACAGCACTGCAGTTGCGTTTGTGGTGGACGTACAGTCGCTCAAAATACACTTTCAGCATGCTTTATTAGATGCTGTCGACTTGAAGTTTTGAGATGATAAAATCATATTGAACAAGCCCCCTTAAACAATTTACTGCCAGGAATAATGGAAATATTATTATAAACTAAATCTCTATGGACAAAAATCTAATAGCATTATTTCAACGTATACATGTCAATGACCACAAAATTCTTTTCGGGCAAAATGTCATTGCATGGCTCTGAGTACCCAAGCGTTCTACTGAGAACAAATTAAACTTTTTTGCCCGGGAAGATGGCGAAAATTGTGTGTATATTAGTTTACATACAGATTACAGTGACAGTGTGTATATATAAGTATATATTTGCAGTAATTTAGCAGCGAACATGCTTTTATTTTTAAATTAGGGACCGGTCATTGTTTATGGAAGGGGGGGAGGGGAATTTTTTCTTTCCTAAATTTTTAAAATTGAAAGCCCCCCCCTTAAAAGAGCAGAAATTTAATGATGACCCCCCCTCTACATATGAGAATATTTTTCTTTGACCCCCCCCCCATTTTCATTTTTACTCGACAAATGGGGATACCCAGGCGTTATAATGTTAATTATTAATTAAATAAGAATATGGAGCAGACAAGATATTAACGTCGACCAAAAATATATATTAGCAGAAAATTATAAATAAAAGAGGGGTATTTTCATATATAACTCTAAAATCAGGTTTCCATTTGATCTGGGCGATTGTAACCATGTTTAATGGCAGAGAATTAATATTAGTGTTTGGAGGCAGGTGCCGTTTGTGGTCCAAGGCTGTAACTAGATTTGATGGCACAAAGTATTGCCATAGCAGCTGCATAGCAATGAGAGTAACAATCAGTAATATTAGCAGCAAAAGGAGATAGCCATGACAATTCTGGACATTCTGCCAAGGCATACCTCCGGCACCAGTCACACTGACAAGTCAGTGGAAACAAAATATAATGTATAGTGGTCTATACATCCTATTTTTAGTGAGATCAAAAATTATATAAAATAAAATGACCTACTACCATATAAAATCCTCTAGAATAAACATGGGTGGGTGGGGTGGGTAGGGGAAAGGTATCTAAGCGCTAAACTTGCTGCAGCTAGGCAAAGCATGCAATGGCAGTATGAATACCCAGACCGAAGCAATAATCACAAGGCGCGAACAACCCCCTTTAATCGATATGACGTCACAGACTCCCATCAGTGGATGTGGCCTGCATAGTACATTCGCTGTTAACCTTGCTTAATGTATTTAACCACATCAAGATAGCTGATGTAATAATACATTGTCAATTTATCTCTGCAATCAGTAAAGACTGATTTGCATACAGCAAACAGAAGACAAGATAAATCCAGACTAATTCACACCAGTGACCATGATTTAGTCGCAATTACAACCAAATGGATACCATGCTTATTAAGCAAATTGCTTCAAATTTAATTGCAACCTCCTCATTTCTTTGGAAAATTTAATAGCCCCTTCTAGTCATTTATTTATACATATGGCCCCCCTCATTTTTCCCTCCCCCCCCCTTCCATAAATAATGACCGGTCCCTTAACTTAAACAGGTGTAACTCTAGTATAGACTTCTTTGCGGTTATACGCAGCAGTTTGTATAAATTGTTTTCGAGCAATTTCTATAACAACCTAAAACTGTTTACTTTGAGGCACTTATAGCCACTGCGTTTATTATACAAGCGCAACTTTTCGAAAGGTTGTGTTAATTAAACACGTCCTAAATATAAGACAGTTGGTATAATATTAGACTAAGTGTAATAACCCATGCACTTAATTAAGGTATAGCATATAACTAGCAGTTACTATCGCAAGGAAAGTGCTGCATTTTCGGCACATGAATTAACAGAGGAATTAACTGAATGCAAAATTAACTTGTGTATAGTTATACACATACTATGTTTATACTTCTAGACAATTCTCTATAACTAAAGGGAAGCATACTTTTGACCCATTAATGGCCTCATTTCCATGTTTCATCATTCGTGCCACGACAGGCCGCACATGAAGATTATATCCCCTATATATATTTCCTGCACAAATTTCTTTCTCGTTTATCATTTAAGCCCAATCATAAACTTATTCTTAATTTAACAGAACATGAGTATATGACAAACATAAAAATGGGGTCATGGGGTCAAAAGTGGATAAACAGTATTAATGTCGATTAACCTACTAGCTGGCAATGCATCCTACTTTAGTATTAACTCTGTCTAACACCAGACAATGTTACACTGTGCAACCCCAGACAATTTTACTTGTCAGTGCTAAAGTATACTGTCAGGTAAATGCGTTAACAAAATGTTTCTTATTAACCCATTAGCTGGCAGTGCGCCATACTTTAGTATTTACTGTCTATAAACGCCAGACAATTTTACTCGTCAGTATGTAGAGTACTGCCAGTAAATGGGTTAACAAGGACCATAATATATTTCAGATTGAGCTAGTTAAATTCTCAGGAAACTTTTAGGCGGAAATTTCACACATAAATACAAAATCCCCCCATGACGACAAAACACCAAGACTGAATGATTAAATAGTCTGTAGTACTTTATTTAGGAAGGTATTTAATATAGTAAACATAGTAGTCTTTACAGCAGCCAGAGAGTTGAGAGATATGGAAGACAAATTAAATTGCAGGGCCGTAGGAAGATGATTAAAGTTAGGGGGGTGGCTGAACGGCGAGCGCCGAAGGGGCGACATGCCGCCATGAGGGGGGGGTGTGGGGGGAGCATGCCCCCGCGAAAATTTTTAATTTTCAACTCTCTGAAACACGTTTTCATGCATTAAGGGGTTAGATTTGGGATAGAGCTGGGGCAAAGAAAGATTCAATCTTCCTCTGCGCCATATTAAATCTGTTATTAAGCAAACTCAAAACGGGTGCAACTGTGCATTCACTTCGAGATTCACTTAGAAATTAGAATTTTTAGGGTGGCTCAGCCCTCTGCTTCAAAAAGTTAGGGCGGCTCAAGTCCCCCTGCCTCCGTGGTTTCTACGGCCATGAATTATAGTATGACAACAGCGAAGGTCCCGTTTACATGAGACCGGAACGAAGTCAAATCGGGACCATTTCGTTTCGATCATAGCATAGTTTTTATATGATAGATATTTACATGACACCGGGACGAAAATAATTCAGACCGGTATCAAGTCATGCCCCCTGCTGGACCGACTTCAGACCGACATGAATTCAGACTGGGACGAATATAAACACAAATACATTTCAGACCGGGTCGCGGCTGTAACCTTGACATTGGAACAACACATACTAACAAATGCTATCTAAAAACGAAAATTGCCTGGCAAGGGGAATAAATTGACCGATCTCGTGTAAACATGTTCACAATTTCATTCCGGTTTGACTTCGTCCCATTGTCCCAGCGGATTTGGACTCCCCACGGGTATGGACCCCCCGGTCCATATCCGCTATAGCGGATTTGGACCCCTATGGGCTATGGTACATATCCGCTAGCTGATATTCCGCGGAATTGGACCCCGTAAAGTTCACAGAAAGAAGAAATTTTTAATTCTATGGGTAGTTGTTGGGACTATCTATATGTCTATGATGAAATTATAGATAATATATATATTCTCGAGATAAAAATAACCACCTTTACCTTATGAAAATTATATATTGTTGTCCCAACCGAGGTCCCAACACTGCGTTCTACTGAGAACAAATTAAATTTTTTTGCTAGGGAAGCTGGCAAAAATTGTGTGTATATTAGTTTACATACAGACTACAGTTACAGTGTGTATATATAAGTATATTTTTGCAGTAATTTAGTAGCGAATATGCTTTTATTAATAAATTATAACTAAACGGATATGACCATGCATATAGACTGACTTCTTCGGTTATACGCAACAATTTGTAAATTCAGTGTTTTTGAGCAATTTCAATAAAAACCTAAAATTGTTTACTTTTAGGCTTATAGTGATATAGCCACGGCTGTGTTTATAAAAGGGCAACTTTTCGGAAGGTCGTGTCGCGTCCCAAATATAAGGCAGCTGCTATAATATTAATGTGATAACTCATTGCATTGCAGATATAGAATACGATAACAAATATTATATACAAAACATTATATATATGATATCAAACTTTTTATATCGTTATTTAGCATGCATGCATGAAATTGTTTTAAGAAATAGCGAACGGAATTAAATGTTGTATATATATGTAGCCTACTTTTTTGCCATCTTGCCACTGATCATAATAATAACTTCAAAGCCAATTTTTGGAAGGTTTATATGAATATGAGGCATTAAGGCATGCAGTACCCATTATTTTACAAGCAACACATTTGTGGAATAACTATATGGCTATGCCTATGCAGTCGCTAGAATACAGCTGCCACTGAATGAGGTGTGTCGACTTCTAGATTTGAGAGTAAATGACAAAATCGCATTGAATGATATTGTATTGGGCTATAAAGCAGGGCCGTACACAGCGGGGGGCAGGAGGCCGGGGGCAACTGCCCCCCCCCCGAGAAAACTATATTTACGATTTTTAGAATGTCATTATTGATTATTCTTTGGATATTTGGGACTTTTTTCGGCATATAGCCAGGCCTTATACTGTCCCCCTAGTGGAAAAAATCCTGCGTACGGCCCTGCTATAAAGTCTGTTAACATATAAGCTCCCTTAAAAATTCACTGCCAGGGATATTATTAGTATAATACAAATATACAGAATGAAACTAAAAACTTAAAATAATAGTTATTTTGCTATACATATTTTCCATTGCCAACATTAACTTCAAGTCAGCAATCCCGCTCCGTTCCATTCTATAGCTTAGCTAAAACCTGTTTCGTTATTGACAGGAATTTCAGTCTATTTCTTCGAGATGAAACCAGTGCAAATTTTAGCACCGATATTTCCTCAAATTTGAATACTTGAATGCTTTCTTCCACATGCAGGCAGGCATCGCCGACGTGATTTTTGAGTTAAATTACTTTAAAGATAAAATATCCGCCTTCTTGCAACGAAATTGCTACCATAGCAACGGGAGTTGTTTAACTTTTGTGAAAAATTCAAACCATTTAGACGCTCTTTCACATCAGTAAGATACTTTTTGTTTCTCAAAAAAATACGCTAGATCTTTCAATAGCAAATTTTCTATTTCTGTCAAAACTGTGTTGAGCCACCTTATTGTCAATGCCCCAAAAATGATTAATTCGATAAACTTCAACATGGAAATGAGGCTCGCAAGTGGCATTAGCACTCATGAAACACCAGTAAACTCTACTGAAATAGTTTCTCGTTACATTGACATTATGTACATATATCAATAGGAACAAAAAAATCATCTGCGCTTGTAATTGTACAAAGAGCGATTAACGTTGTTTCAAAATTCATGAGGTTGTAACTGAAAAGGTATATCAAGTACATTATAAAACCTGGAATTTTTAAATGTAAAAACTTCCCAACTTTGATTTAAAATTCCTGTTAGAAAACAGTTTTTCAGAAAATTGGAGAATGCAATATTTTTCTGTGGGGCATGCCTCCTGACCTCCTCGGTTGAGCTCTTCCCCATAAATATAAACAATTTGCTTCAGACGGCACTGGTCCTATCATTCATATCATCTGCACGTTGTAGCGAACTTGTTTTTATTACATCCTCGTTCCCAGGGCTTCTCGGCTGCCTGCGTTGCCATAAGTCGAGAAGCCTAGGAACGAGTATGATTTTCATTATTGACTATAAGTAAGTCACTATGCACTTCTTAGTACGATTATACCCAGCTGTTTGTAAATGATTTTCGAGCAATTTCCACGACATATAATTGTTTACATTTAGACGCTTAGTCACTATAAATATCAACCTCGTTCCCAAGCTAGGAGCGTAGCGGAAAAAGCCTGGGAACGAGGTTGGCTTGTAGCAAGCTTGTCCACAAGTTGTAACAATGTGGTTTCAACAACCTTGCAGCGGGTTGACAGCGAGCGCGGTTGACAATTTGTCAACAAGCTGGGAACAAACAGTGCGAACATATCCTGTTGATAATTTGTTGAAACAGCATTGATACAAGTCTGCTGCAGGTTTTTATTACAACTTGTGCGTTTTACGTGTGTAAACAGCGGTGAAGATTTTAAAATACTTTGATAATCGTTCATGATGTACCCGCAAACACTTTAAATTGTTTATATTTATCTTTAGTATTTTCAGGCCAGTACAGAAAGGTTGTGTTGGTTGCTTTGACAGTTATGTAGCAACAGCTAGGTATGTTTGTTTACGCTTTATTAGCAAAGCTGCCATGTTTAGATGATTAAAAAACTGGGGCCGCTTGTTCCAAGCTGGGTTGGCGGTAACCCTGGGTTAAAATGTAAACCACTGTTTCGGGTTGTCCACTTCTGCACGTCCATTTAAGACTTTAGAAAATGAAACATCCACACAAGATTTCTAGGGAAAATATTCCCATATTTACCAACAAACTGTCGTCGTGGGAAGGTTGTCTTGAAAATTTTATTAACCACGAGGATAAAGCGGACTTTAGAACAACTGATGAGTTACTAGCATCGAGACACTGATAAACAGATTGGGTGGAGCATGATTCATTTGAAAATCCCTGTTCTCTCTATATGATCTTTACAATGCTATTTTAATTTGTGCACTAAAAGTGGCAAGATTGGAAGGAATATGCTCTTTATACATGCAGTGGAGTTATGGCCGTCGCGAGTATGTTTAAGGAGGGGAAGGGGGGGGGGTAGTGTATTGTGTTTGGCGACCATCTTTGTACATCTTCCGAAGTATGTGTTGACGGGGAGAGGGGGGAGGAAGTGAAATATTCTTAGCCGAAAGATGTGGAAATTGCCGACAAATTCTTAATTTCGTGGCAACTTGTTTTCAGGGGGTGTCACACCCGCAACACCCCCTAAGCAACGGCCATGAGTAGAACCCAGGTAACTCGAACTCCCGAGGAAAGCCAAAAAATTGTTCGAGTTAGCGGGGTTCGAGTTAACAAGATCAGTGTTGAATTTCGTTTATTATGTTAATAAGGTATAGTATATGTATACTCGTTTTATTTATGGTCGGGGCGGGCAACAATTTTTCATTTTTTACACTGAATTATCATGTCAAGTTATTTTGATTTTCATTTTATTTAAGTGTCCTCCATTGCACATCCACCAACTTAGATATCTGCATGGCAGAGAAACTTGCTATCAGATATGTTTTTACATTTGTTATTGACATTTAATAGATCTGGTATCTTTTAATTAATTGGTTGAATGTTCGCTTTTTCCTGCTTTTTTTGGATCGATATGTCCAGTATAATGCGGCCTAGCCTGCGTAGCCGGCGGTTTTAAGGGTTGCATGGGGTTGAGGCGCGGGTAACGAAAATTAGGGAGGCGAGGCGCGGGAAGGGGAAAATGCAGGCGAGAAGTTTCCCCTTCCCGCCCCTCACCTCTCTAATTTTCGTTGCCCGCGCCTCAACCCCAACCCTTAAAACCGCTGGCTACGCCGGCTAAATGCGGCCGCGATCTCGTACTCAGAGCATGCCCGTTCGCTGGTTAGGTGGCCGGCACAGCTCTCGAGAAATGATTGCCTGACACGATAAATCCGAGCAGGGACAAAGCGATTATGGCACCGTATAAAACAAAATATTTGCGAAGAAAATAAGGAATTTATGTAATGTGATTTATCAGAGTAAAATCGTCTTATCTAAGGTGCTTGTATAAGCAAGAACTAGACATGGCGAAGTAGGTGTTAAGCCGTTACAAAGATTAGAACTCTTAATGTTATTAGCTTGGCGCCATACTTAAAAATAGAGCGCGAAAAGCTTGTAAGGGGGTGAGAGGTGTGGTTGATATCATTATAAAATGGATAGCTACGCAAAGCAAGTATCATTCGACTACAACTGTACTGGTGAACAGATCAACATTAAATCTCAATAAATTCACTTTCAAGTCTCTATATCAGGTGAGATTAATTATATATTTTCTTAGTTATATATAGCTAACAATTTTTTCTTTGATAATAATCACCAATGGCACTCCCAAAAGTTTTAGTTCTAGGTCATTCATTTGTACGTCGACTTAAGTCTGATCTGGAATATCGGTCCGACTTACGTATGTCCCGAACATTTAAACTTGAAGGGACCGCTCGAGTATATTTACACGGTATTGGCGGCCGCACAGTACAAAAATTACGGCATCATAACCTAGCTGTAGTTTCACGCCTTTCTCCTGATATTGTGGTGCTACAAATTGGCACTAACGATTTATCCTCGTTACCACCCGAGGTGGTAGGCTCACACATCGAGGAGCTAGTCGTTCTGTTGCGTGAAACGTATAAGGTTAAGGTGGTATGTGTCTGCCTGGTTACTCCACGTTGGCGTAATTGGCATTTCAACAAAACACGCCTTGTTCTGAATAACTACCTAACGGTGGTATTGGAACATATGCCTAAGGTATTTTTATGGCTACATCGGGGTTTTTCGCAACCATCTGTGACACCTTTTCTTCGCGACGGGGTACACTTCAATAAAATAGGGCAATACAATTTGTACCGCAGTTATAGGGGTGCCATTCTCAACGCTATCACCATGTTGTAGTTCCTAATCTCCACGTTACATGATGCATCATCACTTTTTATTTGTTGTTAATTCCCTCCATAATGGGGGCAATATATTTGTGTTCAAAATAAAACTTTTCGTCTTTTTGTACGTCTAAAAGTGTACGAATTTATCCTAGGATAGCTTTAAACTCAGCGTTGTCTTTTCTTGCGTATTCTTCTGTACGCATGTATTCTAGGCCTTATATTTTGGTATTAGCGTCGTTATTTCGTGCGTATTCTACTCGGTACGCATGTATATTAGGTTAATAGCCACATGTGTGGTTTTGTTTTTGTGCTCACGTGAATTGTGAGTCATTTGTTGGCCATAGGATGAGTGGTGCGGCGATCAATTACGATCTGCCATGCTCATTCCTGCCGACGTTTTTAATAGGAATATTACGATAATTTTAAGAGTTTTTATGACAGTTTGCTATATATTATGCGTTGCTGCTTCCTAATTCATACCATTTGGAAACTTCACAATTTCATAGTATGCTTTTATTCTACACCACGCTAAGTTTTTCTGTTTTTGATAATTCATGATGAATATATTTCTGCCTTTTCAAGTTTTATTTTCTAGAATGCCTCCCAGCCGTCGCTCAAAGCGTGTTGCCACTCCGACCGGACCACAGAACTCTGTGCAAGGCCAACCAGTTGCAGCTCGCCCTGCTCTACGCTCGCGGACTGCACGTGGGATGTCTCGTTCTGCTCTTTCTCGGGGTGCTGATTCATTACCATCAACATCGCCTGCGGCTACAACAATTGCGTCGCCCGCACCGATAGTAAGCCAACCGTCCTTGTCTGCCGAGCTGATCTCGACCTTGGTTTCGTCAGTGACAACTGCAGTTACCCAACAGCTGTCGGCGCTTCTACCAACAACTGCAGCGACGCCAATCGTTCCTCATGAGGAGGGTGCTTCTTCTTCGACACACGCCGAAAACCTGGTCAACGATGCCATTGCGTCAACACACTCCAGTCTGTCAGGTCAGCCACTTTCTTTTACTATTCCTAACTCTACGGAATCGTTTTCTCAACAACCTTTTCATTCTACCAGCCTGCCGCTGGATGCTCGGGTTCCCGAAAAATAAAAGTAAAAATTTGGAATGAGGAGTTTGTGGATTTCGATTAGCAATCCCGACCCGACAACCCGTTACGAGATTAATATTCGGCCTTCTGAAACGGGTCAGCCTGCGTCTCTTGTCTTGGAGCCGACCGCCAAATCAAAACGTATAAAAACCATTAGTGATTGGCTTCGCGCTTTTCATATATTTGTTTCAATTTACACACAAAAGTCCCCTCATGAGTCCCCCGCGCTCATGAAATATGGTCAAATGGTGCAAGACTTGGCCGCAAGTGGCCACAATCAAGAAGTGCATCCAATCCATTGCCAGTTTTTTTGAGTCGCAAAAAAGTTACTCTTAGAGAGCTTCAGTCTTTGCTTGGCCTACTAAATTTTGCTTGTTCTGTTGTTGTCCCAGGCCGCGCGTTTTTAAGACGATTAATAGATTTAACACGCGGCATCTCTCGTACCCATTTTTTCATTCGGCTGATGCGCAATGTCAAAAATGATCTTCGCGTGTGGCAGGAATTTTTATCTTCTTTTAACGGCAAATCCCTATTTTTGGACGATCACTGGAGCAACAACCATAAACTTAACTTATATACGGACGCATCTGGCGCTATTGGTTTTGGTGCTATATTCGGCCTTGACTGGTGCTATGGAAAATGGCCGGCGACTTGGCGGAATTATTATATTGCCATACTTGAATTTTATCCGATTGTATTCCGTTTATATTTGTGGGGTCACAAAATGCACAATCAGTGTATAATCTTTTTCACTGACAACGAAGCTCTGGTTTCTGTTATCAACAAACAGACTTCAAAAGATTCCGGTCTTATGACCTTAGTACGTAAAATGGTATCAATATGTTTGGAACATAATATATTATTTAGAGCGAAACATATAGCTGGTAGCAGAAACATACTAGCTGATAGTTTATCTCGATTTCAGATCCAAAAATTTCTACAATTGGCACCGGCTTACATGCATCGATTTCCAACGTACATTCCATCTCACCTGCAGCCCGGAAGCTGGCCAATATAGTTGGCGATTTGGCTCAATCCAGTCTTCAACCATCTTCGATTCCAACGTATAGGCGGGCATGGGCACTTTTTACACAATTCCATCTAAATGTTTTTCACGTGGGCTCAGTAGCTTTGCCTTTGTCGCCCTCCGTCTTGGCACTTTTTATTGCTTATTTATTTGACCTCAACTACGCTCCATCAACAGTTAACACATATGTGTCTGCTATTGGTTATTCTCATCGATTGTCAAATTTACCAGATCCGACGAAAGTTTCTTACATTGTGCAAATACTTAAGGGGTATGGAAAAAAGGGCTTCCGTTTAGACAGTCGGTTGCCTATAACACTACCAATTCTCAACCGCATTATTGAGGCTTCGCCTCACATTTCTGGTTCTCACTATCAGATATGTCAATTTAAAGCTATGTGCTCATTAGCATTTTTTGCTTTTCTGCGGATTGGAGAAATAACGATCACATCATCACATAACCAACCCCTACAAATACATCAGCTCTCGCGGATATATGACACGAATAACCATGTGGCAGGCCTGAAGTTAACATTTCAAAATTTTAAGCATAATTACAACCAGCGGCCTTTTACTTTAGAAATTTATCGGCAAAACACAGCTTGCCCCGTGCAATTGATCCTTGACTATCTGGTTTTGCGCGGCACTCAGCCGGGGGCTATTTTTGTTTCACACCTCGGTACTCCAGTATCGCGTGACGAATTCGCCACTCAACTTAAAAGGGCTTTTCGTCATTGCGGTTTGGATACCTCAAAATATAAGTCACATTCTTTTCGGATTGGTGCAGCTTCCCACGCTGCAGAAAATGGTTATTCTGATGCGCAAATCCGTGCGTTGGGGCGTTGGAAATCGAACGCGTTTCTAAAATACTTGCGAATTTCTACTATATCGACATAACCCCCATTTCACCTTGATTTCTGAGCATAAAACATGCGGGGTGTTTTATCCTCAATTTTATCTGAAATTTCCCATGCGTGATTTTGAGCGTGATTAGCAAGGGCAATCGTGCAATCTGTCAGCGCCCTTTGGTTGCATAACTCGCATTGCACCGATATGTCATCAGCAAGGGCGATGTCGTATATTCTCTTACGTAGTGCGTATTGTGCAATTGACCTGGGTGTTTACTTCGCAATTTTATCTGCCTGTTTAGTAAGGACAGACAAAGCAATCCAATGTTTAATTCAATGAAGGACTGGTGTGGCAATATTGTATCCGTCAAAAACTTGGGCTTAGGCAAAGTAACATTGCATGACAAAATTTCGCCTGCCGTAGTCTGCAAGGGCGGCTACATTTCTACTTTTTGCTGATATAAGCTACTTGGTTGCCTTCGTGGCCCATAAATCTCGCCGGATGAGCGTGCATTCTTTTTCCTTGGGGTGGGGTTTCATCTCCGTTTTGCTTCGATGATTTGGCGATAATCTGCCTCCACCCTTTTCTCGGCAAAATTGTTAATATTTTCATACATATATATTATTAATTATTGTTTTATTAATTTCAATAAATCGGCTAGGAGAAAGGTTACTCCTAGCCAAATTATCCCAAATTGTTTTATTCTTTGCTATTTAACATATACCCAGAAAACAAAGCTGCGGAAAAAGAAAGCCTGCATTATTTAGTGGCTACATTGGCAGTAGGTGGTTTGTAATAAGGTGAATCACATTGCATAAAACAAAATATTTGCGAAGAAAATAAGGAATTTATGTAATGTGATTTATCAGAGTAAAATCGTCTTATCTAAGGTGCTTGTATAAGCAAGAACTAGACATGGCGAAGTAGGTGTTAAGCCGTTACAAAGATTAGAACTCTTAATATTATTAGCTTAATGGCGCCATACTTAAAAATAGAGCGCGAAAAGCTTGTAAGGGGGTGAGAGGTGTGGTTGATATCATTATAAAATGGATAGCTACGCAAAGCAAGTATCATTCGACTACAACTGTACTGGTGAACAGATCAACATTAAATCACAACCCACCTCCTCCCCAGACCTCCTCTCAGCTTAATTAACACTTACTGTATATAACACTACCCAGTATTAATACGAACTTGATCTTGTAACTCAGAGTAAATATGTGTACATACTCTATCTCAGTTCATAACAATCAGATGGGCGATAATCTGCCTCCACCCTTTTCTGGGCAAAATTGTTAATATTTTCATACATATATATTATTAATTATTGTTTTATTAATTTCAATAAATCGGCTAGGAGAAAGGTTACTCCTAGCCAAATTATCCCAAATTGTTTTATTCTTTGCTATTTAACATATACCCAGAAAACAAAGCTGCGGAAAAAGAATGCCTGCATTATTCAGTGGCTACATTGGCGGTAGGTGGTTTGTAATAAGGTGAATCACATTGCATAAATGCGCGAATTAAAGTATGAAACATAAAGTCCAAGTAGGGACATAATTTCTAAGGTTAATTAAGCAGGAGCATTTTAACCTGAGTGTTTTTAGAGAGCGTGTATAGAATATATGTATATTTACTATGGATTTATGGATTAAGGTGGCTCGATACACTTTTCTTTAAGGAAGACTAAGTTCGAGAAAGCGATGTACTTGCGCGTATTAAGCTTGCGTGTAATTTGCGTGGACTTGCAACACGCGGGTTTTAAATGGCGTGGCGGGAAATTTAAAAAAAAACAAATATCAAAATGAATCGCTTTTTACGACTTTTACGTTCTATTTCTGCAAGCATTGATGCCCTTTGTAATGTTAAACACCGTACAAACCTTGGCTACAAAAGAGAGAAAAATCCATCTATTTATAAGTCGACTTTTAAAGTTTCCGTGCGCCAAATATCATCGGTAAACAAGTTCGGCGAAAATGATCGCGATAGTCTATACGATCGTTTTTCGATATTGGGATTTCTTGCACCCATATTTGCATTTTCAATTACAAAGTTGGTTGCAGGAGAAAACGAGCAGGATGAGGATGATTCAACATGGCATAAAGATAATTTGAAACGGAATAAAACCGGAAAGTTTAGTCGGACAAGCTCAGTGTCAACATTTCGAAAAATGAAGTGCATTAGGTCGGCGAAAAGACAGCTCAAAACAGATGAAAAAAGCGAAATATGTTTGACACGGAAAAGGACTGTGAGTAAAACAATTTTAATTTATATACCAAGAAGCTAAGCACTGAAGTTTAAGTAAACAATATACTCTGTCAGAGCGTTTCTAATAAAAATACTGTATGATTTATTTAAAATATAGAAAGCAAACTCTGAAATTACATCTTATTCTCAATCACTTGATGGTTGTCGTATTTTTGACCTGAAGATTTTAAGAAATACTCTTTCAAGTTGCAGTACATGGCTAAAAGGTTAGCTACCAAAAATTAAATTATGATCACTTTTGTCAAAATAAAATGCATGGAAACTGAATGAGTAAGTAAGTCATGTATTTAATTTAATATTATTCTGCAATAATATGACTATTTTCTTTCAGGTCCATTGTCATTTAGCAATATATTAAAGGAAGATACTGTTGGTCTTGCAAGTGTGTTCAAAATCAAATGCCATGTTTGTGGTGCCATAAACCATCTTGAAACTTCTCAAACCCACAGATCAGGTAAACGTGGACTAAACCAACATTCAATATTAATCCCCAAGCTGCACTAGGATGTCTTCACACTGGAATTGGTAATACACACTTGAATAATCTGCTGTCAACAATGAACATTCCAACCATGAACCATTCGACATTCAAAACACGGGAACGAGAAGTGGGAAAAACTGTTGAAAATGTTGCCCAAATAAGCTGCAAAGAAAATATGAACATGGAAATGAATGATGCTGTGGTGGATGGGGCAGAACCTGATGTTAATGGTTTAATTGGCATACCAGTGTCTTATGACATGGGCTGGCAGAAGAGGGGGAAGGGACATAATTCACTTACAGGACAAGGGATGGCTATGGGACTGAAAACTGGAAAGGTGTTGGCTTATGCTACAAGATCCAAATACTGCCGAATATGCCAAAATGCAAAAAAAAATGGCAAAAGTCCGCGAAAACACGACTGCAGAAAGAACCATACCGGTTCATCAAAAGCAATGGAACCTGATGTGGCATGTGAACTTTGGAATGCTGCGCCAAAACAAAACTTAAAGTTTTCAACCTATGTTGGGGATGACGATACTACCACACTTAACCACCTAAATCAGAATGTGCCGTATGGGGTCGAGAAATGGTCTGACATTGTGCATGCTAAACGTTCACTAACGACAAGATTATATAATCTTTCTAGCCGCTGTAAATTCCCAAATTCATCTACTCTGAGTCAGAAAGTGATCAACTATCTGGCAAAATGTTTTCGTATTGCATAGCCAAAAATAAAGATGTGGAAAGTTTACAGAAAGCATTAAAATGCATAGTTTCACATACATTTGGTGACCACAAAAATGGTAAAGATACATGGTGTGGTTTCAAGAAGGAACCTTTGACATATAAACACAAGGATCTCCCACATCATAAAGATTTGCAAGGTGAACAGTTAAAAAGTGCACTTACTTCTTTACTTGATGAATATACAACTGAAACTGTTGTTAAGAAACTTGTACCATTTGCAAATTCCCAACGTAATGAAGCACTCAATAGCATCGTAGGAAGCAAAAACTCCAAAATAAGGTTTTACGGTAGTAGTGAGAACAGTGACTTTCGGGTTGCTTGTGCTGTAACACAAAAGAACATCGGGTATAGTTACATCGACAGTACACTAAACCATCTTGGTATAGAGCCAGGGAATATCTGAATCACACACAACAGTAAACTAGACAAAACAAGACGGTCTGCGGAGCGTTAACTCGCTGGGGCTATACAAGTCATACAAATACGCACATTACTAAGCGGAAAAGTTGAATACGAGCGCGATTTTAAAGGCTTAACGCAGTGCTAAAATGCGGTAGGCCCTACAAGTAGCTAAAGTTATATTTAGTACGCTAGCTACATAGCCGCCACTAGTTGGTCCGTACGCTAGGCTGCTCACTGCGCTTTAATAAAACGTTCAAAATAAACTAATTTGGGGGCTTTTGGGCTCAAAATACTGTCAAAATGAAGAGAGAAGTAAGACGGATCCACTGTTATTTAATTAATTAATTTATTAACTTTGCCAGATTTAAACAACGTTAACACAAAAAACTGGAAGGCCAATCGCAACAGCTTGCGCCAATTACTGCGATCCCTAAATGTTAGACAAATACACTATATACGTACATAGAAAGAATCAATTACTAACGAACTATCAGATGCAACTCTTTTCACATTGCGACCCGCAGAACCACTTCCATTTTTGGAAGCTGAGTCAGAAGACGTTTGAAACCCTCACAATCCTAAACCTTCAGCAAAATCCTGGATAGGCCCCATAGATACCAATGTGAAAAGGTACTTCTGAAAACTAAATCTAAAAACAACACGTTATCGGCCTTGTCAGGTCGCGAGCTTGGTTGCATTTTAAGCAAACCGATTTCCATGTTCGTGGATCGTCAACGTCATAACATTTATCTAGTGCTGTTTTATAATAGATTAATAACTTATTTTTAAAGTCCTTTAAAGTTGCCATGCTATTAATAGTTAAATCCATTGGCAGTGTGTTTCAGACTCTAGTAGTCCTTATTAGATATGATTTTTGATATGTAGATGTTTTGCATGCTGAAGTCTGAAATTGTAGGCA